TGAAACAATTGGAATGACCGGGTAGTTTACAGAGGGGGGTGGAAGAAACTAGGGAGGGAAGGAATAAAAATGTATCAAATTCTGCAAGCCTACTCATTCATGCTGTATTAATATAATGAAACAGACTGATAAGGGAATGAATCAGAGAACATGAGTTTACTTCAGTGGGAGAAGATACAGAAGACAGGAAGAAGAAAGTGTTATTTAACAAGTCACAAAATAACACAAACACAAGGGGATATTCCAGGCCCCTGTAGCCATTGCTGCAAATAAACCTAAATTGCTGCTTTTCTGAAAAAGTTAGTGAATTCCGCATACACATTATTTGATCATTGTTTAGGGTGAGATTACTTAATGGTTTGTGCCAGCACAGACCCTCTTTTGGTGTTAAAATGACAGAAAAATGATGCAAGAATTTTCGGGATTTACTTAAGCTGCGTAGTGAAAATTTAGTGGTGGAAAGGTGTTGACATGGTTAATTTTGTGACTGACCAAACTGCATAGGGATTTGTAGGAGTTCTCATGCAAAGCACAAAGTTTGGGGAAAAAGAGTATTTAAATGAATCACGCAACATGATTTACTAAGCTTTGCGGTAGGCAATTTACTGTAAATTCCACAATTAATCCCAAAAAAAGCATGACTTACTTTGCGTTTCCCTTGGTAGAATGGAAGTGTCATTATTTCAATGAACTGCTTGTGCCTGTATTCATAGGTTTGTGCATATATAGTAGATCTCCCATAGAAATTCAACAGGCGCTTCTTTTTTAATTGCATTCTCATGCTAACTTGCCCTGCTTAATAAATCTGGCCCTAAATGTACTGATTCAGATGATCTGCCAATCAATCATAGAATCTGCTGAAGATGGATACATACCAGTTGTTGGCTTAGCTTTTGGAGTGGTGTTTCTAACAAAACCTACAGAAGACAGAAAGGACCATTGGATGATTAGCTAAAAGGAAATTCTAGGTAGTTCAATGGTTGCGGAGGGAAGAGAGAAATTCAGGTGAGCAATGAATATTATCAGACGTTACTTGCTGAAAAAAAATGTTTTCAAAAACTGTACCTGCTGAACAAACCCTCGACTGGTGCAAAAACAATGCAAGAATTTTCGGGACTTACTGAAGCTGCGCCGTGAAAAATTAGTGTTGGAAAGGTATTGACACAGGTCATTTTGGGACTGAACATATTGTATATGCATTTGCAAGAATTTTCTTTCAAAGCTCAAAATTTGGGGGAAGAGAGTATTTAAAATCAGTCTCGCAATGTGATTTACGAAGGTATGCGGTAGGCAATTTATTGCAAAGTGCGCTATTATTGAGCGCCAAATAAAAAATGACTTATTTTGCGTTTCCCTTGGTAGAATGTGTGTGTCATTATTTAACTGAACTGCCTTCATCAGTTTACACATTTTAGAGCATGCATAGAACTGGCCAATCACACTGGAGTTTTTATTTTGATTGCGTCCGCAGACTACTGTACACTGTTTAGCAAATCTGGCCCTAAATGTACTGACTCAGATGATCTGGGAATCAAACACAGGATCTGATGAAGACTGATACATACCAACTGTTGTACTTGGTGTTGTTGTGGTGCTGGTTGTTTCAGGAGTGGTGCTGGTTCTCACAAGAGCTACAGAAGACAGAAAGGATAACTGGATGATTAGCTAAGAGGAAATTCTAGGTAGTTCAATGGTTGTGGGGGGAAGAGAGAAGTTCAGGTTAGCTATGAACATTATCAGTCATCACATGCTGAAAAAGTTTAGTGGTAGAAAGGCATTGACATGTAATATTATGACTGAGCATATTGCAGATGCATTTGCAAGAGTTCTGTCGCAAAGCTCAAAATCTGAGGAAAGAGAGCAATTTCAGAAAGCATTTTGTGACTGAGCATATTGCATATACTTTTGCAAGACGACGCTTTCAAAGCTCAAAATATGG